GAATCTTAGGCCATGGCTCACTAAATGATCTTCGACTTTCATCGTTGACACAATCATATGAATTCCACATTTCATGTCAAACCAACGTTGGTAGATGATTCAATGTGGACGATGGACAAGAAGGCAACGAATGTTGTACGAAAAGGCGGCCTAGAAGCAAATGCTCCAACAAAGCGGTAGAACTACGCTGTATGGCTAGGAAAGAAGGGCCCCAGCATTGTTTTTGCTTCAACGTTCCTGTGCCTCAACAGCCCTCTTTTTCCCAGGGTGCAATAAAAATTGAGGACATGTTTGGACTGGTCAACGATGAGGGCCTAAGACCAGCTCACCAGACTGAGCCATGGCTCACAATCAAACAATAGTCTTTTTCAATGCAACGGTAGAGTCTTCCCCAGTTGACTCGGCAATAAAAAGATTGTTCAACTCAACAAATCTGCACCTTTGAGTTCACATTGTGTTGTCTTCTCCACCCGTTCTTCTCTTTCCTACACCTTGCCTGAGCATCACCATGTCACCGCGTAGCGCATCTGGCTGGCCGGAATGGGAGGAGAAGAATCTTCTCTCTTGGCTGGATGCCCATCAAGAGCTATCATGGAAAGCCCGCTCCGACGCATATTACGAACAACACCGGGTGGCCCGAAGCGCTGAGTCTCTAAGGGGGAAGAAGTACCATATTCTGCGGAAAAGCCGTCGCACACGCGCCGGAGCTTCTGATCGTTCAGACAATCAAAAACCATCAAAAGGCGCTCGTCACTCAACCGGCCAAAGGGCTTCATTGGCGGCCCTCCCAATCAAAATTTCTGCCAAAAGTCACATTGACAAATGGTTTGAAACAATCTTAACGGCTGAGGAGACCGACAGCAATGGATCAAGTCAAACAGAAAGCTCCAGACTAGGTACGAAATGAATTTCCTGTTATCACCTTTTATCATTTACTCATTACAAGCTGAGCCTCTGTCACAGGTCGTGCGACGCGAGTATCAAACCCGTGTTGGCCTGAAGAAACTCGATCGTCATCTTTGATGTGGGACTATGTGCACCGTGTTTGTGCAGCCAGGAAACTTAAATAGCAGTGGACAGAACGCCCATGCTAGCAGCAGATTGTCGACACACGGTTTACACCGGGATACCGAAGCAGCAGTGGCCAACTATCTCTATAACTAATCCTTGTACAAGTTGCTATAATGAACGGCTCTGATAGCTCCGCAAGGAAGCCGCAGCATGTGAAATTCCGTCGTGGCTGTACATATCCCTTCATGTAATTATAAATACAACAGAAATAACTCTTGAAATCACAACAGCATCAAGAGTGTCCCAGATGTCAAACCTAGTCAGATGGAGCACTTTTCCGTGTGCCTTCGAAACAGACCCGTCTATAGTGCTGTTATAAATCAGCTATACTTGCACATTCTTCATGTTTGTCTCCAATCCAGGCGAATGTCATCGGAGTCCCATGCGGCCTGGAAAACGCTTGCGGGTAGTGTATACAGTCTCACATTACTAGGATTGTCCTCGGAACAAGACCAGGTCATGGTAGCAATGGGGCCCCCTGTAAATTTTCAAACCCCACTTCATTCTTGTCAGCTGGAGGTATTATCTTTGCTTGCATCTTCAAATGGATTCGGTTAGATGGGTGGTCGAAGGCAGAATGATCTGTAGAGTAGAAGCTGAGGTATACGGTTTATTTTCGAACTACGCACTAGTCATATTTGCCGAGAATCAAAGGTTTTCCGAATCAGTCCAAAACTGGCAGACTCGAGTCATAGGAAAAAGTTAGAGTCACAATGACCTTGGAATAGTGGGCGGGACCGTCGATCAGTAACCAAATCCCAAGTCAATTCGGCAACTAACTTTCGATGAACCATGGAAACGCTCGCTCGGTGAGAGAATGCGGTTGTCAGAGGAACTTGATCGAAAGCTTATCTATAGTGTTGGATTGGCGGCGTGATTAAATCTATATCATAGTCCGAAAGTTCAGAGGAAAGCTCGTGGTACCCTCTCCAAACTTAGTACATTGTAGCAGGAAACGACTTTATTCGTAAATTATCTCGCTCGCCAGGTTGATGGTCAAGATGCACCGGGTGCTTGAAATAAACTTTGTGGGTCGGCCGGGACCAATCGGTTTCTCGGCCTTAGTGCACACACCGGAGACTTTGTTTAGATCTACCATTTTGTCCTTGCATAATTAGCATAGTTTCCACAAGCTATCTGCTAGCGATATCAGACTGGCGATCGAATTTGGCAGATGGAGAGGATGGGTCGGGCTCAAAGAGAGTCTACTTTCTACGAGGAAGGTGCAGGACAGAAGACATAGCTTCTAGAACGTTCTATAGGCCAGATAGAGAAAGCAGCAGCTTCCCACTTGACGGGGGACCAATCACTCTCTTGCGAGGGCAACTGAACCGCGGATCAGATCTCTGTTGCCGAAACTCTGTGTGATATTCCAAATACTCTCCTGCCCAGCAATACCCTTTAAATAACAAAGACCGCTGTTCCATCAGGCCCTAACGACCGTCAGGTTTGGGTTTGCGGATCGTGTCTGGACCCCTGCAAATTCTTCCAATCTCTTCTCCGGGCCACAAATAGAACCTCCATGATCTACTGTCCCGTGGGTCGTCGCCGGGATCTACATCGCAGAACCGTACCTGCGTCTATCTAAATTCACGCGCGGTGTTTGATTGGTCCGTTGGGTGCTATTTGTATCTAGGGTCTCATCAGTGTGATAGCAGCGTTGCAATCTGGCGAGGGGGTGGCGATCACGAGAATCTAGCTCGTGAGCCATGGTAGCTGAAATAGCTCGCTTCATTGTCCTGGAAATTGGACTCGGGTTTCTATTCTGGGCTTTGCAACCAGGTCTAGACTTTGATTCTCCGTCAAAGGAAAACAGCCAATAGCCTGGATGTGGTAGTATGTTCATAGCGTCTGTACCGACAGTTAGCAGAAGTATTAGTAGAGGCAACATCAGTTGGTTGCAAGCAACACGGAAAGTACCTTTCGAGTAGCGCGAGGCTAGAAATAGGCAAAGAGGTTTGTAGAGGGATCAATGGGAGGCACGTCTTACGGCCAACCACGGGGACATTCAAATGTGACTATCTGCCAGTCTCCAACCCATTATTGCGGCATCTGTTGAAGCACTTCAACCCTCATGAAAGAGACGGTGACCGTGACTAGTGACCGTGATTAAAACGGGCAGATGTAGAGTGCCACCGCGTTGAGCGATATAACTGCAATTTCAATGATGTGAGAATCATTTTCATGCGGTATTACAGTCTTCTCAACAGTTGATGAAAGTGGTTCACCATACTCAACGCAGGTTTTTGTAAGCAATGAATCCAGGTTGAAAATTGAGTCTATAGGCCACAAGGTCTCCCAAAACCATTTCAACGATGTTCAAATGTCTTCAACGCCAATAACAAAACAGTGGTTCTCGCTACCATCTGCGCAAGTGGCTCCTTGGTCGAGACTTAGCCGAAAAATTATAAAAGGAGCCGGATTCCCAGCCCCAAAAAAATCAGGACTTCGGTCCTCACACTCCGATGTGTCATGGTGTCCCTCTTGCTTACGGGCTTGAGCGTCTCCGTGGCCACGGCTGTCGCTGCCACGAGCCCAGCGATGTAAGACTGTGCTCCCTCGCTGCCACAAGCCCTGCGAGTGTAAGAAGGTGCTTCGCAGGATAGACTCTGCGTTATCAACTGTGTCTCGCAGGATAGGCTCTGCGATAACAACTGTGTCTCGCAGGATGGGCTCTGCGTCAACAACTGTGTCTCGCAGGATAGACTCTGCGTTATCAACTGTGTCTCGCAGGATAGGCTCTGCGATAACAACTGTGTCTCGCAGGATAGGTCTGTGTCAACAAAAATCCTCGCAGGGGGGGCTGCGTTACCAAGTGAACTCCGCAGGGGGACGCTGTGATGACAAGTGAGACCCGCAGGAGACCGCTGCGTCAACAAGTTCTCCGCAGACTAGGTCCTGCGTCAACAAAGCGCCTCGCAGGGACATCTGCGACACCAAGAGTCTCCGCAGGGACATCTGCGACAAAAAGACCCTCTAGCCCGTGCAGGCACCTCTTCGTGGTGCTAGGGACCAGTATTCGAGTATCAAGAGTACTCGAAGAAGCAAAGACCTGCGCACCATCTTCATGACGTATTTCGTATTTCAAAATCAACATTGGAGAAATGAAATGAGCCTTAGATAGAAGCAAACTAATTTTAGAATCATAACTTCAAGATTCAACCTTCGTTATCGAGAGCGGTATTCCCAACCCTCCTGTCTTCATGGTTTGCGGTCGGCTAGTCTTCCCGCCGCAATAGAATGTATCTGCCATCAGGGCGTGGAGTGAACAAAATGGTCAGATTTTGGTGCGTCGTGGATATGTTGACCGGGCGTTGATGAACGTTGATGAACGTTGATGGTCGTTGATGGTCGTTGATGGTCGTTGATGGTCGTTGATGGTCGTTGATGGTCGTTGATGGTCGTTGATGGTCGTTGATGGTCGTTGATGGTCGTTGATGGTCGTTGATGGTCGTTGATGGTCGTTGATGGTCGTTGATGGTCGTTGATGGTCGTTGATGGTCGTTGATGGTCGTTGATGGGCGTGGACGATAGTATGGACGAGGTGTTGATGTGTGTATTGTGGTATATGGCCAGGCGGTGAAGTTGAGTGATGGTCACTAGACTTAGTGTCGGAACGTGGTCGTTACAGTACGGACTAGTACGGGCATAGCCAATTGAGTACTTGAGTGTGTGATTTTGATATACTATAGAAAGTGCAGAATGAATAGGGGATGAGCTTACTAAGGTCGTTGAGAGCCTTAGGATCATCAGGCAGAGGGAGTGCTGAATCTTCCTCGGGCGCACTAGTAGCATTGCGACCCTCTTTTGTTGACAGTTTCTCGTAGAGCTATACCACGTGATCTCATTAGCGTATCTTATCACCACATGACTATAAGAGAGTTTTTTGGGACAAGCTCGAAACAAAACAAATCCCTCTCAGTACGATAATGTCGCTAGAAGAGAAAGAGCCCCAAAAAACCGACTCCTCCGCCGAGACTCCTCCCACGATTCGAGAATCATGGGCGCCGTTGACCGAAACCCTCGAGCCTATCCCTACGCAGTCCCAGCTCACGGATGAACTCGACACTCAAATTAGAGAGGCCCATGCGCAGCTCGCAAATCTCATACGGCAGCGACGGCTCATTGAGCTCAAACAGCAGGTTTTTGATGAGCAGGTAGCGCTTGAGGTGGCCCGGAAACGGCTCGCGGCCACCTCCAGCAAAGATCGCTCGCCCACTGTCATGAACGACAGACAAGACAGGGTATTTGTTACGTCGATGCAAACTGGGTATAGCAAAGCTGGTATTACCCAAGCTCCAAACACTGCTCTTATTGCACCATCTGAGCAGACTGTCCGTCCTTCTTTCCGTACGCCCCAGCCTAATTCCTCACCCGTTAAACCTGAGAATACCGCTTTGAATGGCCCCGCGAATTCAAAATTGGAAATATCAGGGGAGCCTGCTACAGCTAAAATATTGGCCACATTACCTCACCAAGCCCCCACCAATTCAAACAACCAAACTTCTCCAGTCCCGAACATACCAGTGTACCATGGGCGTGCTCTCGGCGAATTCAAAAATTACGCTAGGAGCCTGGAATGTCACTTTGAGAAATATTCAGGCTGGTACATCACCGACGAGCGCAAAGTCACCCGGGCCCTAAAGCACGTTGCCTTCAATCTACAGAATGGGTGGAAGCGACAGGTACGCGACATGTCCAGTGAGCAGGTTACATTTGGTGGGCTTTGCACTTTTCTTATTTACCAGCTCCAAAATGGAGTCTATCCGGAGGTGGCCAAGGCGCGCTACATGGATAGCTACCAGCGCCCATCCCAATCTGTTACTGATTTCTCCAACTGGATACAGCAGTGGGAGCCACATTTCCACAATAATTTGTCAGAGCGTGACCGCATGCGCCATCTCTTCGAACATCTGTCGAATAGAGTCCGCGAAGAGGCTGACAAAACTCACCTGGACTTCACCCATTATTATGATTTCGTCGTTTACCTGCAAAGGATCGAGGACTCCATTGATAAACGTGCCGGACCACTACGCAAGAAGTATAGCAACCCCAGGAAGCGACCTCACTCCCGCAGCTGAGTCAACCCCATCGACCTTGGTTGCGAGGCAGGTGTTGAAGTGGAGTTCGAAGGTTTCGAAGGCCGCTGGATTGATGGCTGCTGGGCGGAAGGTGCGGGTGAGCTGGCTAATTGAGCGGACGACGTGGATGGCCGCTAATAGAGACGTGGTTTGTTGGCTGTCGGGGATCTTGCCTCTCTCTATGACATATTGTTCGGCCACCAGGCATGGAAGATCGACAATGCAGTCTTGGTCGCTGACCAATGCCGACGTCTCCGCGTTCAGTTACGTTGCCGTGGAGAATCCACATCTAGGTGCCGGAATGTTAACCGGCTTCCCTTTCGGCACACGGCGCACGAGGGCGTCTTTCAAACGGAACTTCCCTATGCCTTAGGATCGACTAACCCATGTCCAACTGCTGTTCACTCCATATGGAACCTTTCCCCACTTCAGTCCTCAAAGTTCTCATTTGAGTATTTGCTATTACCACCAAGATCTGCACTAGAGACCGTTCGACCCGGGATCACTCCCATGGCTTCGTCACGGACCTCCACGCTTCGAGCGCGAATAATCCATCCCAGGCATATAGCCCCCACCATACGTGCTTTCGCATCTCCCCTTCGACTGCAGGCCAGGGCCCGGAGTCGATATGCAACCCAATCTCTTGGGCCACGCGCACGGCTGAACCAATTCACACCCAGCTGGCCGACTTTGAGTTGACCTCGTAGAGAAAGATGCTTGCCAGCAAAGCGGCCCGAACTCGATCCAGATTAAAGTTGTCATGCCAGGCATTGATAATTCCACAAGATGTGCGAGTGTATTTCTTACCTTCCTCTTCGCTGTTTTGCTCCATCATGTGAATAGCACCGCAGGCGAATACGCCAAATAGAAGAGCCGCCCATTCAAATGAAACCCCAATAACGAGCCAGACCGATAAACCTTCTCATACTCCGAGATGAAAATGGGCCAGTGAAGCACCGGCAGAACTGAATGGATACAATTAAAGTGCGCCAAGAGACGGTCTGCCAGGTGCTTCTGTGGTAGATCCACCGCATCACCTGTTACCAGTGACTCTGCACTCCGCACGCGGCAAGGGGTCGGCACATTCAAGATGCCACGGCCATGATAGCGGAGATTGGAACGCACGTCAGAGAAATCCTGAGAAATTGGCGCATCTGACCGACGCATGGGGCGGTGCTCGATTTCGGGCAACTTAATTATCGTCTCCGGAACGTCTCCATCCATACCGGTCATGCAATCCGGCCAGATCATTCTAGTCTGCAGGTGCTGTAACTGCTGTTTGGAATTCTGCAGCTGCTCCTCAAGATCTTGGACGTGTTTGATGGACGACATGCGACGGTTCGTCTCCTTGGTAAACTGACAGCGGACCCTGCGATTGTTGCATTCAGTACAACTAGATGACCCCGAAGCGTCGCATTTGACCTTGCGCTCGCGACAAGCATCGCAACTAGAATCCTTCCTACGCTGGCGATGTGCGCGCTTCTGCTGTAGTTGCGTGGATGTCGGTTGGCCATGACCGACGGGATTGATTTGGTAGAGATTGCTCGGTGCTGGCCACAATGGCGGCACACCAGAGATCGAGCCACCCTCATCGGGTGAGCATAAGACGGAGTCGTGGAAACGCTGGTATGGTGGTGTCACTGGCGCGACTGATGAATGGTGTGGCAAGGGCTGTGATAGATGAGCCTTTTGCATGCCACTCTTTGGTCTGCTCGGCGGAGTCGCCACGCCGGCTCCTTCCCGATTCGGTTTTCTATACAGTAACGCCGCAGAATTCCTGCCATTGTTCCCATAGTACTAATTTATGTTTCACGTATCAAGGATCATGCTCTTGTTCCTAGAGGCTACGAATAGTCTGGGATCGGTGTTCAAAAGCTCCAAGGGGTGGGCATCCAAAAGAATCATCTTCAATAGAAAAGCGAATACTAGCGTGAAAATTCTTTTGTAATTGACATTGATTCCTCGTTTTTCGTACGCAGTATAGTAATGTGATGGCCACCCACGCACCACCACAGCTTTTCGCCAAAGCACCCATAACAATCTGTTGAGTAGTAGTTCACAGCCCCGTTGGGCAACCTTCTCAAATGTTTTCACGCAGAAGACTGGAGTTCGGTGATGAGTCTCTCGATGCGTTGACGAATTTCGTGACGGATAGTCCGTACAGCATCTAAGCCTTGCCCGGCGGGGTCATTGAGTTGCCAGTCGAGGTAGCGTTTGCCAGCGAAGAAGGGGCAGACATCGCCACAGCCCATAGTGATGACAACATCGCTGTCTTGAACCGCGTCGGCAGTAAGAATCTTGGGTTTTTGGTTGCTGAGGTCGATGCCTTCTTCGCGCATAGCTTCGACAACGATGGGATTGATGGAGTCGACTGGGGCCGATCCGGCAGAGCGGACTTCAATGGTGTCGCCAGCGAGATGAATGAGATAGCCGGCGGCCATTTGGGAGCGACCGGCATTATGAACGCAGACGAACAATACGCTGGGCTTAGCCATGATGTGCCTTTATTGTGATCGGTTGGGCGGTCGTTGTGGAACGGTTCGTTGAAAGAGGGACTCGATTGTTAAAGTAGCCTATAATTGGCGGGTACAAGTGGCAAACGTCTCTTAAGATAATCATGAAACGAAAAAAAGCTTTATAGGCGATGCCTCAATTCTAGTATAAGTAATCGTGCAAGAGACTGAATGGAGGCAGCGCTTGGGGTTTATATACCACGTGCTAGCTTGTAAGAGAGGGAACTCAACAATCCATTGATCTAGAACATTCTCTTATCTAGCGGAAAAAGCAGTTTTTTGTAATACCTCATTCACGAGAGGCCGTTGCCCCACAGTTTATCAAAGCGTTGATTAGTGATATCTGTGATATAGTCACAGTGTGTGCAAGGTTGCATCTTGCCGACGTTGCTGGATTAGAAACCAAGCCCGGCCATTCGAATAATAGCCTCAGATCTTAAGTAGTAAGCGATTTAAACTGGCAGCAAGCGGTCTTATTCTGTTACGAGGCGAGAGGACACTGCTATTGAATCCTATTCTAACATGGGCAAAGTTCTGTGCCAGCCATGTACATGTCACTCGAACAATATGACTGGTCGAAGTTTGTAAGAAACACAGAGACTGCATTCTATTAATAATAGTGCTCTGAATAAGGTTGAATGGCTCGTTCGAGCTCGTCTAGCTTGGTACTATTTGTCAACCACAGGCTGCTTGCCACTATTCAAATGGCCACTTAAAGCCCTCATTTCATAATTTCGTAGATAAAGTTATGTAACATGCGTGTGGAACATGGAACAAGTTCGAGCCTCGGAATCTTACATGCCAATGACAAGGCAAGGGTCGCCAAGAGCGGTATGTCACTACTTTGTGGTGATTGGCTAATGGTAATAAAGTGTCACTCACCTGTTTTGATTGGCCACCAAAATGCCCTTCCTGAATTAATTTGGGCTAGTGTCGCCCTTCTAGGCAAGTCAAAATCTACATATATTACAGACCACTCCAGGGGTTTCTACAAATCACTGGCGTACTTTTCGATTTTCCTTCGAAGTATTCATTGAGAACAATACCTTCGCAGATTCCAAACCATATACGCTTTTTGAAGCTGGATATGGCCGCCCCAACTCATCAGACAAGTCTGCGCGCGACGGAGGAATCGCAATATCATAACCCAATACTGGATAGCCAGCCGCCAATACCTACTGCCGAGGATGTCGAAAAGCAAAAATCGGAAGAGACTACAGTCAAGGAATCAGCCTTCAAAGGTCTTGGCTGGTTAGATCGTTTTCTGGCCTTGTGGATCTTCCTTGCCATGGCCGTCGGAATTATCCTAGGCAACTTTGTCGAAAACACGGGTCCTGCCCTGCAAAAAGGGAAATTCGTTGGGGTTTCCATTCCAATCGGTATGTGCGCGTGAACTGTGAATTTATCAGGCCTTGGCTAATCGGTGTAAGCAATCGGCCTCTTGGTCATGATGTATCCTATCCTTTGCAAAGTACGGTACGAATCTTTGCACCATGTATTCCGAGAGCGTGGGGTCTGGATTCAAATTGGGTTCAGCATCTTCGTCAATTGGATTATTGCTCCTTTATTGATGGTGAGACTAAACCCACTCATCATGGTGATGTGTACTGATATGATCCAGCTTGCACTAGCATGGGCTTTCCTGCCGGATGAGCCAGAGCTTCGGGAGGGTTTGATTCTCGTTGGGTTAGCCAGATGCATCGCTATGGTAAGCTACCCCTTTCTATGTTTATGTTGTACTGGAGTCAGACTAATTGATCATGATAATAGGTTCTCATCTGGACCGGTCTCGCTGGCGGTGATAATGAATATTGCGCTATTCTTGTTGCGGTCAATTCACTGCTTCAGATGGTGCTCTTCGCTCCCTTGGCAATCCTCTTCATCAAGATCATTGGCCACTCGGGCAGTCAAGTTACACTCTCATATTCTACCGCTGCCAAAAGCGTGGCGGTGTTTCTTGGCATTCCATTAGGTGCCGCAATCATTACCCGCGTTGTACTTCGAAAGATAGCTAGCCCACGTTGGTACGACCAGGTTTTCCTGAAGTGGGCTGGCCCGTGGTCCCTTCTTGGGCTCCTTTTTACGATCCTTGTGTTGTTCGCATCTCAGGGCCGCCAGGTGGTTCATCAGATTGTATCGGTCGTTCGAGTTGCCGCTCCGCTCATCGTTTATTTTATCGTCGTCTTCTTCGTCACTCTTCTTGTAACTTACAAGCTCGGGTTTGGTTACAAGTTGTCTGCTACTCAAAGTTTCACTGCTGCCAGCAATAATTTCGAGCTTGCTATTGCTGTCGCTGTCGCAACATTTGGTGCCAACAGCAATCAGGCGCTTGCCGCCACTGTCGGGCCGTTGATTGAGGTTCCGGTACTGCTTGGCCTTGTCTATGTTGTCAAATTTATAGCCAAGCGAGTTGGCTGGAAAGACTGAACCGAAAAGTAAGAGGAAAATTTGCGACTAAGGCTATGTTGAAGCGAGGGGACTGATCTCGAGGCGTACAGATAGGCAGTGCACTTAATAATAATAGAAACAATCATAATTTAGAGGTCAAAATTTGTCTGGATCAGTCTGAACATACGCCATATGACTTCCCGGGTGATATGTCCGATCTGTAGTCTGGATAATTCCGGTGACATGGATAAATTATTGAACATGATTTGGAGTGCCAATGGATCTCTAGATGGCTTTGCGTTAAGCGAATTATGAGACTTCATTTTTTTAACGCCTAGGTAGCGTACATACTGAGGCCAACCGTAATCTAGCGAATAATAGAAGTATACCCTTTTAGAGGATGTACCCTTTGATAAGTAAAAAGAGAGAAGAGGCTAGGTTGGAGGGTGGGAGAACTGGAGACATTCCAAGGCAAATAAACCCCATCCAATAAAGTTCAGTGAGTGACCACCTGAACACACTATTCCCCCGCAAGAAACTGGTGGCGGTCTACACTCCAGCTTATATCATTGCTTATTAAACAAAATATGGAAAAGCTCCCGAGTCAGCACAGCCCAGACGAGTCTTGTATGTCACAACTACAAGGTAACTGGTTACTTCAATAATGTCGAAGTCGTCTGGATTCCAGTCCCTGGAGCTGGAGAAATTATGTTTGCCTAAAGCTTCTGTGTCTGTCAAATTCATCTGTGTCCCTCTCCTCTCCCCCTCCCCCCACCAGCCCACAAAAGACGCTTGATATCCATTATCCATCGCTCGTCTGCCCTGATGAATGAGATACTATGCGAGAGAGCGATTCAGCTATTAACAAGAGCACGAAGACCTTTCCAGCATGAGCCCCGGCTTATCGTTGTTGGCATTACCACAACCCGCTGCTGTAGACGATTGTTCTTCAGCCACTAATACCATTTCTAAAACGACACCTTCTGTTCCGAACCCGTTATTGCCATGCTCGTGCTCTATTTCTATCCTGATGTCGGACAACATTCAGCGCAAAAGTCAAGACGACGTCCACTCACCAAATGGACCTCTAGTGCATCGGTTGTACTCAAAACTGAGACTTTCGCAGCCGGGGCGACGGTGGCATCCCAGATCTGATGTCAAGTTGCTGCCTGCGAAGTACGAATTGACTGAACCGTCTGATTTGGTGGTGCTTATCTCGAGCATGCTCATGCAATTGATTCAGATAAACGACAAAATGCCACTGCACCAGGGTCAACAGACAAAGTTTCACTCTCGTACCGCACCCCAAATTTCTGTGTACAATTACCTTCAGCGGTTGGCTACGCATGCTAAGCTCTCGTCGGCGATACTTCTCAGCATGGTCTATTATATTGATCGGCTCTGCGTGTTATATCCTGCTTTCACGGTTTCCAGTCTGACGATTCATCGATTTCTGATTGTTAGTGCGACAGTCGCCAGCAAAGGCCTGAGTGATAGCTTTTGGACCAACAAGACATACGCTCGAATAGGCGGAATCAGCACGATGGAACTGGCAATGCTAGAACTTGAACTTTTGTTCAGGATGGAATGGCAAATTGTTCCAAATCCAGAAGTGCTGGTTGACTACTACCGACATCTCGTCGATCGGTGTGAGAGCTTCAAGATCGATGATCCGAATTCCAACTCTAGCACCGTGTCAGTGTTGAGATAATCCACAAACACATAGGCGATATCGGTAGGAGAGGAGACAAATGTCTATTCCTAAGAGCTTTGTTCTTAAATAAGGCATTAAAGGGTGGGCCGCGGCTGGATCACAATACCAGCATCGATGGAGGATTACACTGCGTCTGTTTGGACGCAGCAGTCTTTTGCTTTGGTTAAGGTTACTCATCGTAGGAGATAATGAGATAGAAGACTAAAGTACGACATTTACAAAGCATGGTTTCCACAGTAAAAGTCTATACGGTTCTTTACTGTATCGTCCACTATTCACAACCTGTCTTAAGTCATAACTGCCTGAGAATTCCTCTTCGCATCTTTCAATCTCTTCTCCTCTCGTTCGCTGAAACGATCAGCAAAAAGTGCGATGTGGGGCTGCATCAAGATTGTATATTTAACAAATTCCTCCAAACAATCCCCGGTTGCCACTAGGCATGAGCCGCTGATCCCCTGGTTGACCTTCATCCGGAAAATGGGTGTACGTCTTCGGAATTGACAACTGATTTGTGATGGTAACATACGCATCCAGCGACCGAGGATACGCAAGGAGTTAACCGCATTAAACGATTGTGATCCACCACACACCTGGGCAATGGCGAGCGTTCGGCCTTGAGTCGGACGAACGCTTCCAGTACTTAGAGGAATCCAATCAATGCATCGCTATGGTAAGCTACCCCATTCTATGTTATCAGACTAATTATCCATGATAATAGATCGTATTGTCTCGCTTACTGAATCTGCCAGAGATTCATGGCTATCACTTATCCAAGATGTCGAAAATCGACATATTTTTCACCATGCAATTTGATTCCGAATCACATCCAAGTTCGGATCGCACATCACGAAAGTCTGAATGATTTCGCATACTTTCGATAAGACTTGCTGCAGTCACGCACGATGTAAATTGACCTGTATCCTGAACACCGCCAAAGTGCTGTAATTCAGGGACAGTTTCAGCTGTGACAGAACCGAGCTCGACTGCTCGCCCTGCACTTGATTCTTGGATATTGGAGGTATCCATGCTGATCTTTGGATCCGATTTGGGCGGCGAAGATCTCATCTCAAGAGTTTTAAGCGAATGCGATGAGTTGTTCACCTCCCGAGAAGACAGAGTTGCCAGTGAATGGTGGTGATCCACGGAAGGTTGGCCGTGGGCCGTCGGCAGGTGCAAGTTTGCTGATGGTAGGGAGACCACTGATGGACACTGAGATTGGATAGAGCTCGCTGTTTGTCTTTGAGATTCCAAGTATTCTTCGATTTGTATTTCGGTGACACCATGGATCATCAGCAGGTATCGGAGAGAAACATTTTCTGCCGCGACTTTTCTTCCTGCTTTTTGAACATCCTGTGTCGCCGCTACGCCAAGCCTTTCGAATGACCTTAATTGTTGCTCAAGTTGCTGGGTGTACTCCTTGCGCCGTGTGCGAGAACGCCGTTGATTTTCGCGGATTCGAGCGGATGATGCGTCACCCTTCTTCATATTTACAGTTTTCTTTCCCTTCACCCTTGTGCTTAGGAATGGGAATGCGAGTAGTGAAGGTACAGATTTGGGGGGGGTATAGTTGAACTCTTGGAGTCTGAAGATATGGTCAAGCTGAAACGGAACTCGGTGGCGACATTTAGTCATTTCTTCTAACTGACCGATCATCAAAATATCCGGCTAGGTGGGGCAAAAACATATTATCTGGGCGTCTATTTTCAATATTATTGTCCAATCACATTTCGCTAGTGACATACTCCCTTCCTTGGGGTAATTTTACTATACAACTGCACGTGTAGTCAATTTTGTCAGGATGAGGAATTGATGTACTGGCTGGTACTGGACATGTCCAATAGAATCAGGTGATTGATTGTAGGTGTTAAAGATCGGTTGAACGATCTCAGGGGTCTATACAAATAAGCTTCGGCGTGTTACAACACCGTACTTCCGAATGTGCCCGGAATACCGTACAAATACTAGGGGGAATTGGGTGAACGATGAATAAGCCTGTCCCAAATGGTCCTAGTGGTATTTGACCACTCTCTCAGTTCGTCATGTTCAACACTACACATCTATATAACGCTTTCAAGTCTTTCTGTTCTAGTATACTATGGCGAGTGATAACTAAGTAGAGATAAAAGTTCATGGTTAGTTTATCAGTTGAAAACATTCATTATCTTCTCTCGCTGTAGCTTGAGGGATCAACCAATTATATATCATGTTAGCACGTTCGTTAGCGGTCCAGCCTTCAGTAAGGGTAACAGTTGACTATCATGTTGAATAGTGAGCCACCTTTCTCCATTACTAAATTCCAAGTAACTTGCGTTTTTCTCGAATGATATTGCATAGATAAAGGGCTTCTTCGTGTTGATACTTAATTTTCCCCACCATTTCGCTTCCAGTCTCCTTTGAGTTCGTGGTCACTTCGGCGATACTGTAGCATATTGCGATATGTCTTTTTCCCTGTTTCCTCGCGATGCCCGACCGGCTAGATCTAGCACTATTCCTCCAAAATTCGAGCTTCAACCCAAATTTATCGGTCGCTCGAGTTCTAATAAGTATCACAAGCTTCTGATTAGGTTTTATGAAGTTTCGTTACTTTTGCAATTGCTTGGGCAGAGCCGCGGCGATCACAAACCGAAGCTGCATGATCTAAACAGAGACCAATCAACTCGTCGGGGGTTTTTACAGAATCTTTGCTATATTTGTGACTTTGACAAAGGAGGTGATTCCTGCACCGCGATCGGCCTTGAAGAGCTCGACACTCGCTACAGATTTTGGGTCGCCTCAAACAAAGGCACAGCTGAAATCACTCGCTTCCTTGAGAATGTCCTTGAGTCACTGCGTAATATCGATGATTTGCCAAAGACAGCGTAAGCCCAAAAAGGAAACGAGTTTTCGAAATTGTGTATCGACTTTGGAAAGAAACGCATTGCCAAGGAAGAACTGTTTGTACAATGCCGTGGCTGCTTGTCAGCAGAAGCTTTCAAATTCGAGTACATGCGAAGGTATCTAGCCCTTTCCAAAGGCTTATGCTTACCGGCTCTGATATTCTGGTAGCTGAAACACTGAGGCAGTGGTTCAAATTGCTTTTGAGCCATGACGATGATCTCACACTTTGCACGTTTGCTTACGATACCCGGCATTCGGAATGTTTTTCACAACTGCAGATCGGTTCTGTACAACAAAAGGACATAGGAGGCCCGGAAAAAGACTTTGAACGTTTTGCGCACGTGAGGCATCTGCTTGGACGACTAGCCCATCGCATACGGGCATCGAAGGAGCTTTTTGAAGCTGCTATTGATGTGAGCTACATACTCGAAGCTTTCGATATTCTCGCCGTGGAGCCTCTAGCATCTGTGCCTCCTCCACAACCCGACAGACATACCTACCTTGGCGGTGTTCTCAACCGTATGTTACCGAAGAACTCTAACAAGCGACTGGAGGTCGAACGCGGTCTTTTCAAATTCAACGCCGTGATATAAATCTTCGAGAAGTTCCCACGCAAATATCTGAATATTAAGCCGCGAATTCATGCGGAGGTACAAATACTTGAATACTTTCACCGCAACCAAATGCTACATGCGAAGAACGACCGCTATATTGCGTGCAGTAAGCCGGCCTGTTTATGTTGTGAGATGTATTTCAAGTACCACCCAGCACGAATGGTTGTCCCCGAATCGCACCAAAATGTGTGGACAAATTGGGGACCTCCTCTGGTGGAGAACTTTACCAAATTCAATGCGGCTGGAAGACAGCAGTTGGATGTACTGAACAGAGTGACACAAGAGCTTCGTGAACTTGTCATCAATCAAGCCCTTAGACAATCCTCGGTTGGCCATAGACATCCTGATTCAAGAACAGGAATCACAGAGCTCTGCCACAATAGCTCTGCCTTTACGTCTACCATTCTCCACCAACAAAGTCCATCTGCAGAATGCGAGGACGCCTTCATTGACCGGCTGAATGAAAAGTTGAAAAATGGCTCGGGTGGACGATCAAGTGGCTCTGATATATTGAGAGACATCGACGAGGAATCTGACCTGGATGGCGGAGGTGCTTCAATCTATGTCTAGATAAATTGAGAACAACCTGCAACATTTCGATCGTTATAATACGACAGATTATGTATAGCACAGTATACTTAAAATTGAAAAATAAAACTAGTACTGGCTGCCTTCCTCATCATAATATGTCTAAGGCCGGAGATAAAATATCATAAATTGAATCGCTGCTTTATTTGCATATATTCATCTTTTCATGCCTCTTTAGATTATCATGTCGCGTGAAGGGTTTACTACATTGGTCGCAAGTGAAGTTTTCCGCCACCCCTGAATGTCTTTCAGCCAACAACCTGCGGTAAGCTTTGACATGCCGATGCATATCCACTTGTTCAGCTGCACGATAAGCACAGAAACCGTTCGCACATTTGACAGGCTTGAGGTGTTGCCGAATATGTCTTCTGTTAGACATCAGTAACGGTATTGAGTTCATTTTAGAGACGTGTTTATATCTCAAATTTTGTTTCCCATCCAATGGCCTCTTCCATTCGCAATTCTGATATAGGCAGCGATACACTCCATTGGAAAAAGACATCAAAAGGTCTAGCGAAGGCAATTCTGCTTCTTCAAACTTGACCCTCGACTGTGATACAGTAGTCAGCGGTACTGAAGCGCGTCCTTCTTGGACTCCCTCAAGGTTGGAACCCTCCGCAAATACCATATTCCGGGCATCGTCTTGACATAGTTCCCTTTCATTAGGAATGACATCCGATGGAGCACTCTACAGAGGCCAATTTTCGGAGTAGTTCCCAGTGAAAAGCGATTGGTCTAAGGTAGCTGTATCCGCGAAGTCGTAACTATTATCCGGCTGCTGAAATGCATGAAATGTTGTTTCTGAAAAAGGTGCTGCACCACCTTGTGGGTTGGGGACCATTGAAAGATCAAACGTTTCAAATTGATGAAAAGACAGGAATGAGTCGGGCAGAAAATCAAGGGCAGTACTTGAAATCCAATCCTCGTTGTCCTCATCCTGGTCAGAAAGTGGTACTTCCATAGCTATTGATGGTATCGTGGATAGAGACTCAAGGAAAAACCCACGTTAATACTACCAGGATATATACAGAACCACGACCGAAGTAGTGCGTCTTTGGCTAATTCATACTAACTTGCATTGATTGCGTAACCAATAGGGAAGAGACACATCTTTTGGTGCTCGAAACCAATTCAAAAATGGCGCGCTAAGCAGCGACTCCACATGCCGATCAGCTGCTGCAATGCATAGGTACCCTCATCCACTCGCCACTATTCACCGCTACTTCAGTTGGAAAGTAGAAAAATCAATGAAATACGCAGCATCAAACTCAGCTACAAACACCCATCATCTACCGGCATATTTTCCAGATTGTGCACCGTCTTGATTATCTGGAGGACAGAATATGCCTACGAAAATGTAGTTGCTCTAGCAATTCAATCTTATTGTTCTCATATTTTCTATTCGGAAAACCTACTCGCGTAATCAGGATCTGCAGGTAAGCTGGCTAGCACCCAGACATGAAACAAATACGAACTGAAAGACTTCAAAAATGACCAATCTGGTTGGTCCACATATTGTTCGATGCTTCACCGCTTGTTCTGATGGGATCTTCTCAGACTTGAACATCGCTATACGCCTTCGATCTGTGGCACTACGATGATTGATGATCTCTAGCCATCACGGATGGCGCATCTTACGGGCTGACGTGCAACTGGTATTCTCTAGTAATATAATGCGGCATCTTTGTGATAGGTGCTAAACTTCTAAAAGCTGAATGGTATTGCATGTATCGGACTTTGGCTTTCGCACATGTAAGATAGATTCAGGTAGCCTCAATGAAAGCCTTCTTCATACCACTCAGCCAATATATACAGACAAAGCTCGGACTATGCTCGAACACATCAACGCGAGTGGTTTCTGACGCCATTGTACATACATGTCTCCGTAAGTTCCAATTTTTGTATATAAATAGCTTACTGACCAAGCCAAATTGGTCCGGCTCCAATATATCAAACCAACGACCTATTCAATTTCATTTTCCAACGTGAGAATCCACGACTATGGCAACTCGCCAAGGTTCAACTAACCACGAGGCTCTAATTAGTGGGTCTTCTTCACTTACTCCTCTTCAGATATATTGTGCTCTAATGCGAGACAAAGACCAGCTCGTGGGAGAAGAGATGTTTCGCGCAAACATCACGCTGGCCCTAGCTCAATCAAACAGCTCCGACGACTTACTGGTTGGTTGTCTGATCCTCGAAAATTCACTCGCGACTGACTGAGTAACAGTCGGATACTAGTCAAGTCGTTGGGTCATATAACTATTCTGCAGGAATGCAATACCTGCAAACAATGCGTATTGCTTCATTTTACGATCAAGTCAGAGACCCGAAGACTGCTGTGTTCCAACTTCTTGGCTTTGCTTTTCGCTCGCTACCGGGATCAGAAGCCCATGCCCTGATGTGCAGCATGCTTCGCTGGAGTTACATAGGACACCACGTGGAAGCCCGTACAGATAGTACAAACACAATGGCTCCTCTCACCACTGAATACCCACAGTTACGGTCTCCTTTGAGCAATTTGAGTACCGAATTAAACGCACCATCTGACTCTCACGATGAAGACAACCTACCAAGGTACACATCTGCTTTGTTTGAAAGAGGACAAGAAGACGGCAGAGTACTCCAACGTACATATTCAACGCTCACCTTAGACCCTCCTCGGTTCAAAGTGAGCATAAAGTTTGGAAAGTGGAATGGATCGGGAACCGGACGTAATAAGAAGATTGCTGGCCATTTGGCTGCAAAGGACCTTTGTGATCGACTGGGAATCACGATTTGAAGGCAATGAGGAAATCCTATGTATGAAAGCTCCTTCTTAGTGCATATTCAACACTTCGCTAGTCAAGCCTAAGATATACATTCTATATATCGTTGCAGATATCTTTCTATCTAGTCTTGAACACTTACGGACCGTGAGATTGATTTTGCTTTACTGGTATATATTCGTTACCATCTCGAGGCTTTTCTGCTCAATATGAGAGCTGTCCGTTTCCGCTTACTGTAGCTCGAAACAAAAGATCTCAACAGAAACGACAGAGAATAGGGGGATGTGCGTTCCTGTGGAAGTGTTCGGTAGTTTGTTGATCAATAGCAAAGGATAAATTTCTTGTCTACAGCAAAGTGATATCGCGAAAAGACCGGGGCAAACTGTGTCGGTATCGGGAAATTTTCTGGGATCACTATTTGGTTTGAAATATTTTATGCACAGTCTACCACCCGTCTTGGAGACGATGAGAATATCCTGGGCCCCGTTTCACAGGTCACCTATATATACACGCGGTGACTCCTGGGCCTGTTTTACAACCAAGCATCAGAGACGGCTTCCGCGGCCGCCGATCTGAAGGATAGAAATAGCTCCTCTAATTGAAACATCCTTACCGAGAAAACGCCTATCAGAATTGCCACTGAGGCAGGCAAAGCATGAAAAAGGCACCTATCACGGCTCACTATGAGCTGGGCTATTCTTTATTGAAGCAGCTTTTTTTTTGAGAGAGCGCATAGCACTTATAAATTCACGGCGCCCGGAGATTGACCTGCTTCATCATTCTGCCGTTGTCCTTTACTTTGTTTGATTATTTTATTTACTTGCACGAAACCTACCTTATCTTCCTGCATTCGAACAAATCCTTCCTTGCGGACACAATGCCCCTGAATACTTCCGCAGCCACAATTCGGATGCGTCTTGCCATCATTTTCCTTGCCATCACCTGGCTGGCCCTTGGCGATCTCAGTTCCGCCATTGTACGCTTTGCTGTCATTCTGCGAGACCGCGAAAAATCTGACATCGTCACCTCGAGCGACTCTATTTTCGACATCACGTTTCAAACCATTATGGAAACGTCCTCGTGGGCATGGTGATTGTGGCCCTGGTGTCAGCCCTGTTTTCCATCTTCGGGTTTGTCCTTGTGATCTGCCCGAAGGTGGTACAGCAAACAGCACTGCTCAATTCCACTACAGTTGCATTCAAATCGTTGTGAGTGTGATTGTTCTCTCCTTGGGGGGTTATGTTGCCAGCCACGTTCACGGCTTTGAGACATCCTTTGAGCTTTTTGACAGTGCAGGCCGCTTTCCATACTACAAGATTATGTATTACGGAGCCGTTGGCCAGTCCGCCTTCAGATCTGGAGTGGTCATCATGTCTGTTGTATGTTTTATCGTAGGTGGCTTATGCGGTCACTAGGAGAGTACGCGCACTGAGTCTACCAATCAGTCAAAGTGGGGGTTCAAAGATCTGCTCTGAGTAGGGCCGTGTCAAGGAATGAGAGAGAGAGAATTAAGATGGAAGGTAGTGAGAGATTTTCATGATGGCTCTTCGAAGGACGACGGAAGGAGATAGAATTTGGAGCTATTGGGAAAAGCTGCCGGATGTGTCATGCAAGAAATTATTTTTATTACAATGATGCTGAGATGATTTACCAATCAGAATTTTTGTCCATCCAAGCATGCTCAGTTCTTGATCTGACTACCCCGCCCACTTTGGTCAATCTCAGAGTATCCTCACGTTAATGCTCACCCTTGGAGTAGCTCGATGTATGAGAAAGGTCATGATCATCGACCTTTTCTGCGTAAAGTGAACCAAACCGGTGTTCGCGAAGACTTCAAGAAGCCAATTGTGGAAATGTGAGCCATCCAGGAATGACAGCCACAAGGAATCAGTTGTAGCTTGTAGGTCTTTTTATCTCGACTTTCCGGAAATCTTCACGCAACTGAATATGATCCTAGCAGCACTGGGAAAACACATCTTGGCCCTGGGAGTTTTTCTGCTCCCAAAGGCTTTAGTTCGGCTTCTAGGAGCATATGGGCCGCTTCTAGGAGCCATATAGTCCCCAGGAGACCCGCCGTAGCTTCTAGGACGTTGTCCATGTACCACGGGGGATCCCCGTCAAATTCCTGCTGATAGCTTATTAATTCCTAGAACCTTGAGTGCTGTTCCTAAAGCCCTAGGCTAGGCGTCTGGGAATAATTAAATGACTCAGATTTGTGCGAAGGTGTTTTGTGAGTTAGTACCCTACGCTGGGAGGCAGAAGATTGACTCTAGGATTCAGAGATACGGCCCTAGGAGTGCAACGGCTCCCAGATCCAGGCAATACAATCCCCAAACCGATTTCGTGTTCATTCAGGAACGTAGAGCCAAGAATCCAGGAGTAGGTTAGCGTCTTAGGATAAGGAAGTAGCTCCAGGAGCTAATAAAGTAGTTCCCAGGGGATACGCCGCTCCTTTTAATGATTTTGTGGTTTTCAGGATCAAACCCTATCAACCCTGGGAATGAAGGCTTGGCCCTGGGAGCTATCTTGCTCCCGGGGGCTTCAGTGCGGTTTCTGTCAGGGATATACATGAAGTATACAGGATGTTTGGAGAAATGATCTGCGGGACCCACATGGTGCATGTGGGTTCCCCTGAACGCGAGGAAGCCTGTTCCTTTTGCTTCCTCGCGCTACGTCTTGTATCTAGAGTCGACTATAGCTTTCTTTAATATTGACTATTCATCTGCGTATACGTGAGATCCTCACGCAACGGAGATGGAAGAGTTTTGTGAGTCAATAAAATATCCTGGAAATGAAAGGCAGCATATTGATTCTCGGATGCAGAAATACGGCCCCGGGAGCGCAATAGCTCCCAGATCTAGCCAATGTGTTCCCATAACCAAGTCTTAATTCAGCCAGGATCGTAGATTGAAGATCCCAGGGTAAAAGCTCGGATTCCTAGAGCCACGAAATCGCTCTGGGAGCTAAAGAGGGGTTCCCTGAGAATTCAAAGGTCCTGGAATTCAGTTGAACGTTTCCAGGATCGGTGATGTCGGCATTTACTTCGGCCGCCGTTGCTGGGTATAGGCGATTCTTTCCACCACTGATTTTCGAGCAAAAGCATCACTAGAATGAAGCAGCATCTCATCAGAAGTTTTTGGCGCAATATTTAGCTCTTGAAATTGTGAAAACAACGCTATGTTTATGTGACTGGCAATAGATGTGTTAAGTGGTACTAAGACACATGCGGTCTGCCGCGCCCTTGACACGCCACTAGGAACAAATTCGCTGCTCCCAGGAGCTAGACTAGAATCATCTGATAGACATGACTAATACCTGTCACCATCAGTTATTTAACCCGCCAACCCTGCTTTTGCAGTCTAGATAACCATTTCATCCTTTTCGTCTGAGAAAAAACTGTCAGCTTGGTAGTCTTGTTCAACCACCTCAATGGCACAAATACGCCAACAGACCCGCCAAAAGGCAGACTCTGGCAACCAAAAAAAGGCCACACTCACTTCTCGCATAAAAAAGCCATCTCATAGATTGAAAGGCCCAAAAGGCACGATTTCCAAGTCTACCGTTCCCGCGAAGCCAAAAATCGAGTTTCTGCCAGCCTTGTTGTTGAGCGTGTGCTACCCGGATGAACATACAACTCTTATACGACTTGGAGACTACGTTCTTGCAGATTAAGAAGCGAAAGAAAGCGCTGAACAGATTTATAATCTCATCAAATCGGTTCGCAAGCTCGAAGTGCCAGATTATACATCTCGCCAGAACGCTCTAGAGGTTGAGATGAATGCCGAATGCGCAAAGGAACCTCAAGAGACAGAAGTGGAATATGAAAAGCGGATGGATTTTGCGAGCCATTGGGTCCAATCCTTGCCTGTTCGTAAAGCAAAATGGATATGGAGAGCTCGGGTGGTGATTGAGGCGATGGGTCTCTTTCTTGGGTTGTCTGATACCCAACATTCTGAGCTTAAATCGGGAGCGCTACGTCGATTTGACCCGAAAGCATTCTACATATATTCATGGATTTGTCTGACAGGGGGGAGAGGTGTTAGGACTTGGGGGGGACGTGGAGGTCCAATACCTCCACCGCCTTTATTATCAAAAGGTCTCTCTATCCAGGAGCAAACAAAGTGGTACTACACTATGGCGCTTTCCCTTCAGGAATATGTTTTGAACAAATGGGCCAAAGGACAAAAATTGAGAGAGGTGCTTACGATCAATACTGTGAGATCAGTCGGGTGCCCACATGTTTAGAGATCACATTTCTTCTCAATCCAACTTTGAATCATCGAATGGATTTTTTCTGCCATTCTTGATATTCTGATTTTATTGAATAGCTGTAACCTCAACCTCCTCTTATTTCATTCACGGGCCCTGCCAGATCAACTCTGAAAGGGTGGTTCCTCTGCAAGCGTTCGTCTCTAGCCCTCAACATCGTGAGGTTTGATCACTTTCCCCGACCAACTATCCCTATTGTTGAATACACCGTCAGCAGTCCGCTGAACACGTAAAAACTCCAGCCAGAATTTGACTATTTCGATTGACCGTTGCAGTAATTGTAAACTCAGTCCACAAATACCTGCGTCCATATAGTCTGTAAGAGGCACAAATGCCTGATGGAGATGGTATTGTTCACACCTTTGACTTTATCCTGTGGACAAAATGGACGCACAAAACAGCTCCACAGCCCAGGAAAATTAAGATCACCAGCCCAATGAAATGCCAAACGTTGGCGAAAACGACAAGTTACAGGAAATATCTGACTATGTCCGATTTGTAAGTGTGACGACTGGGCTTTAAATATTCTTGCTGGCCATTGAAGTCCTCCCTCTCACAACAGAAAGCTGATACAAGACACGCCCTAGCGACCGAGCCCATTCAATATATTCTGAAGGAGCTAGCAGACCTCGAGCACGACGATCCAAAGTCCGCCTTTCCCGCAGCTCGATTTGTTGGACTCTATCGACGTCTATGGGAGTCATGCGTGTCCAAGCACATCAATGGCCAGAGGCTAGAGCAGGAGAATCTTCTTTTGGAGGAAGCTGGTGCGCACCTGAGAAAAAAGAGAGATGGCCTTCAGCTTCGCCACGACAAGCAGCTAGCCCGGCTGCGCTTTTTGGAGCAGGCATTGGATTCATCCAGAGAAAGGCTAGTTAGCGTACTCAATGACTGGACATACATTTCAATCAGACGCCTCTTTTGCTTTCGTTGAACGCCTCAGATATTTGAGAAATAGAACATTGTAGAACATAATAATCATCATCAAACAAAGAAGTTCAAAAAGAATGCAAAAAAGCAAAAAAGGGCATCTTTTTGGTCATAACTTCGAAAATTGAGTGAGTGTTGACAACGTTGGGCTAACCTTCAACGGGTTGACAGGTCGCGCACATACTACTGTGACCTCGCTTTCCACAGTCTGGTCGGACAGACCCCAGCTCAACACAACCAACACCACACTAAAGCGAGGCTAGGGAAAAAAGTCCATAATTTCGAGAAATGAAGTTGTAGGCGGTTTTCGGTGATTCAACGTTGAGTTACTCACAGGTGAGGTATCAGAACAAGAAATATGAGCCTGTCATTGCGGACGGAATATCTTCCACAAAGCCTCAATTTAAGAGGGCCCTGAAGGATTCGGCAGTGAGCCATAGTTTCTTGACCGACTCAACATCCTTTTTCCCAACACCACTCTAACTTGTCTCTCTCGCTGAGCTAAATGCATAAAAATTGTCGCTGCATGTCGCTGCATGTCGCTGCATGTCGCTGCAAATAATTGCGGTAAAAAGAAGAAATGGGGTTCAACAGGCCTCAATTAAGAAAGTTGTTCCTCAACGCGTTCTGCCAAGCAGAGCACTTATGCAACAGAAGGAGCCGAGAAGTCTTTAAATACGTCCTCTACCCCCGGCAATTTGCTCTTCAATTTATTCACCTGACTCTGCAAAGCCGAGCAGGCTTGTGTCTGAGTCACTTGATAAGTTCTTCCCCTTGACCCGGTACTGAATTCCACTGTACTGACATTCATAGAATACATCGTGGATAAGCAAGCCAGCCAGTGCCTGTGAGAGATACAGGTATGATTCCCACCAGATGCACTGCCATTCACAC